CCCCAAAACCCCAAAACCCCAAAACCCCAAAACCCCGCGTAAATTCATCAGGATTGGAGTTTAGAAATTTTCATAATCTTTAATAGAAACAGCACTGCAGAAGATGTAGAATATTTCAAGAGAGCAAAATCTTATTGTCAAAAAGTAGCAGTGATACTTTTGATGATTAATCATTTCCTTGGTAGTCTACACCTTCAACTTTGTTGTGGCTTCTACTTTCGCATTCGGAGGGAGTGGTGGGGTCCCAGGCATCCTCTGATATATTTTGGATTTTGCTTTCATCTTTCTTGGTCTGTTTACATTTGGATTATTTGTTGGCAAATAAAGGAATCAAATTTATATTAAGCCTCATCATTGGAGGAGCTGGGTTCTTGAATATTATGAACCTAATCATTCTTTCAGTCATTTCTAAAAATGACTGAGAGGATTCATTTGATTGTCCTCTTTATGGAAGTATTCCAGTGGTTGTGATTAATCTTCTATTTATTTGTGCTTTGGCATTCCCAAGTCTGTATTTTACAGCAGTGATTTTAGCTCATGTTCATTCTTAGGATCTGAAGAGAATTCCTGACGAGGGAGAAGATGTAGATGCAAACCCTGCTGTAGTTGTTGATATGGACGGTCCAATCCAAACTATGGCCCCAAATATCATAAGGATCAATAACCCCTACATTGATTCAAATCCAGAAAATCCGCAACCTCACTTATTTATGTCTCAGCCTCACCAAGTAATTCCCACGCCATCTGCACCAACCGATCTCAACATAGGAATCCAAATAGGAGTACAGCCTGCTCCAAATCGTGCTAATCTCAACATCTCAAAATCTCAAAAACATTACAATCCAAGTGCTCCTGCAAAATATATGCCTCGCGGCCCAGCGGCCACTGGAAATGGAGAAATTGAAATCGGTCAACTGGTCTAAGCTAATTTAATGTGCTAAATAATGACATTTATGAATAAACGAAGGATTCAATATAACTGCTTGATTATGGGGTTTTGGGGTTTTGGGGTTTTGGGGTTTTGGGG